GATGACTTTTAAGTGGAGATCTGGATGAGGAAGGAGAGGATGTTTCTGGGAAAGTAAACCAACATGTAATGGGAAGGCCTCAGGATGAACTTGTGGATTTAGAGAACTGAAACAAGATGGAAGGCAGTGGGGCAGGAAGGTCACTCAGGAAATCTGTGTGGCATTTAGCCAGTTGACTCATGTTTTCTCACCATTCCCTAAACTAGTTCCCATAGCCCTTTCAGAAAACAATAATTGAAATTCTTAGCTTTTGTTTACACATCTTAGAGTTATTTATGATGACAAAGATGTAAGATCTCACTTTTCTGAATTAAAAACACAGCAGCAATAAAGAATATCTCAGGTTATCGGATGTGTGAGACCTGGTGATAATCTGGAATTTGGAAAGGGTTTATTTCTAATGAATATACATTTCTGCCTTCTCTGACTCTCTAACCACCCTGGATCCCTGGTGGTTTAGTGGGTTATTGGTTGGAGTACTAACTGTAAGGGGAGAGAGATGAGGCTGTGAGTTCCCTGAATGATTTATACCCTCAGAAACCCCAGGGAGCCCTTGCATTCTGTTACACCTGCTGTCACTCAGGGGAGGGAAAGGCCACAGTTGGCTGAGGACTGGCACAGAGTTAATCTTATGCCTCTGTGGATTTCCTGGGCAGTGTAAACCATTCACACACGTGTTTTCTAACTAAAAGGTTGGAGGTTTGAGTCTACCCTGAAATAAGTCCTGGTCATCTAATTCTGAACAATCAGGAGTGTACAAGCCTATACAGCAGTTTTGTCCTAAGTTGAAGTTCACTCACTGGCAACCCGCTGGACAATTTGCAAAGAACCTGACTCTGAGGTAATGGTTTAGAAAGAAACAAATCAGGTAAAATGTTCCTGGAAAATATGAGTGCACACACTGGTGCAGAAGTAGTTGTCTGTCCTTAGACATTTGGTTCCCTATGGTGCAGGTTCACAGAGACCCTGCATTTTTGTTCTGGGGAGGCCCCCCGCTGTGTGAGAAGGACTGCTATTTATTCTGCTAGTACTGTTTCCTCCTTTCAAATAAGACTGAGAGAATAGGAACAAATTGGCTCTTGGCATACTTGGTTCCTAATAGTTACTTATAGATATTTTATGTGAACAGTTCATTGCCTATTACTTTCCAATGAGCATGAAAATGCCTGTGGCAGTCTCTGCACTTTCCTTTCTAGTTCAAATGGACAGCCTAGTCACACAGAAACCTTCCCCTTCATGGCTCATCTACCTGAGGAAGGTAAACAAAGGAAGTGAAGACTTCATCTGATTTTCCACTGATCATGAGGTACTGGGCCTCTTTGATGGACATCAGAGTCCTTGATGAAATTTTGAGGTAGTAGGACCCTTTTCATTCACAATGAAAATGCTAGTTTTGACTTATTGTATTGGTTTTAGGCCCTACTGATGGGCCCCATCAATAGTTTCTACCTTCTAAGTGGTTGTGGTAGTTACATAATCTCATGTCAGTTTGAAGGTATTAAGACTGAAGGGGTGGAGTTTAGCCTGTCAATCAGGCCACAGCCTGATGATGTCTCCTTGTGGGCATGAGCTTCTCATGAGGATTCTGGGAACTTTCTCTGATTTCACCTTCCTGCTGGCAACCCACCACGCTGAGACCTCTGAGCTCTGTGATGCTTCCAGCACCACTGGATCCACAAGACTTTCCACTCACCAGCTGTGATCTCCCTGCATACTGCTGCATTGCATGTGACTGTGTGAGTCGGAAGAGGGACTTAAATGGATTATAATTGGACTTACGGGCTAGCATTGGACTTTTGGAATTGATCTGGGCTAGGCTGGGATGTTTGCTTGATATAGAATTACTTCTTGATCTAAAGCTCTCTCTTGCACATATATGCGTGTCCCTGGATTTGTTTCTTTAGTCCACCCGACCTAACACAGTGGTATTCTGGAAATGTTGTTCTAGCATGGTTACTGCTCTCTTTCTCAGGGACACCACTGGGTGGGTCAGGGGTGCAGTCTGCACTGGGTGATACTGTCAGAGGGGTGAGACCACAATGCTTATCTATAAAATTTTGTATACTGTGTCAGTAGAAATTTATTATTTTGGTTACAATATCTCTGTATTCATAACAAACATTTTTTTCAAGACTAAAACTGTTGATTTACTTTTTGAACTTTCTAATGTGCTCTGGTCAGAGCTGTCATTATTATCCAATTACAATGATGCTTCAAATAATGTGGTTTCATGGGTACATGTCAAAACATATGAAGTTATTTTCATTGTTGATAGTCTTTTTAATGGTCACTGAATTTGTCATATTTTCTGGTATTTTAGTACAATATTGTGGTAACTAGTATATATAAGCCTATATTAATAATTTTTTTGAGAATGAAAGTAGTACTTAAAGGAGAAATTTTTTAAAAGGCTTCTGTTCATTTACTGTTAATATAACTAACAGTGTTTCAATTCCATGTATAAAGGTACTCACAAAACTTTTACCCTGACATCTTGATAAGAATGTAACTGCTTGAACTCTTAAGCCAGCCCACTTACTTTGAACTATAAAGACCTTATATTATCTTTGTCCTGGGTCAAGAGTTTTCCAGGCTCTAGTCTACTCTTGAACCAGTTGTTAATAAAAGCTTTGATTATTAACAAAGTAGTGTGGTTGATCTCACCCAGTACATCAATAAGCAGTAGTAAGCTTTCTGTAGGAGCTGGCGTGGGAGGATGTGCATGGAGAAGATGACACCATGAGGTACTGCCCAGGGTGACGTCAACCCTAGTAACACCGCTGCTCACTCGGTGGTGTTCTAGAAAGATGTAGTGGTCACCAGAAGGGAAAGGGAAGAGCAACTCTACAAAGCAACAGGGAGGAGAGTGAAGACCAGAGAAAAGAAACTTCACTGAGTTCTCAAAATGTTCCCAGTTACACCTTTAGGGATTTGATATTGTTTGGGACAGTTCCTGACAGGGAGTAAAACAAACAAACATGGACACAGACATTGAAACCAACAACTTACTGTCAGTGAATTGATTCACTGCCCTATAGGGCAGAGTAGAACTGCCTGTCTGGCTTTGCAAGGCTATAATCTTTATAGGAACAGAAAACCTTCTTTTGCAGGGGTGGAACTAGGGGGTTTGACCTGTGGACTGTGGACATTGTGGTCAGCAGCCCAATAGCCAACGGAATCCTGAGGGTTCATGACTGGCAGTGGGATGCTATGATTTGATTTGCATGAAGCCTCACAGTACTCTCCTCCCCTGCAAACGTCTCTGAGTCTCCATTGCCCTTCTGGAGGAGTCTGCCAGGCTGCCAGGGGATGGCTTGGCCAGTGGCCAAAGCCAGTGTGCCTGGAGTCCCCAGGAGGCAATTACCTTCTAGTAGCTGCAGCTGGAGGGCTAGTCAGCCGGTGGGTTGTGTTCCCTCCCCACTGGCAAACATCCATGGTACCATGGCTTGGGGGGACATGAATTAGAAACAGCCTGAGATTTGGGTTTCTAGCCTGTCCTATTTCTAAGGCTTTCATTTGAGCACTATGTTATTGGTATTAGTTGATTTTCTGGCTCATGTCCTGGCACTTGAACATGAAGGGGCAAGAGTCTTTATTTCTAGAAGGTAACAACCAACTACTGCCAACAGCCACAGAGAACAGCCAACTGCTGTCAATAGCCTATGAGAGCATCTCCTGTATGGGAAGCAGCCAATGTTGGCTGTACTGGCCTGCTCCAACTTCTGCTATTTGTCTTCGCTTCGGCCCTCAAGACAGTGTTTCTGTCAGGGAAGAGAGAAGCCAGAGGCAGAATCAAGTGTGTCAGAAGGTGCAGAGCAAAGGTGACAGGCAGTGTCCACTTAGTTATTGCCTCCAAGAGGCCCGAGCATGGCCTGTCACTACAGCCAAAACCAGAGACCAGGGTAATTTGAGAAATTCTAAATTTATTTCTGCCTGTGCTAACATAAGGAAACAGCTGGGCCTCGCCCTCCAGACTGCTTCAGAGTTCAATCCCAACCCAGCAAGGAAACTTTGTGACAAGACACAGGCTTTCAATAGTAGCAGGAAGGAATTCACAGGTTTTGCAATGATCAAAGGACAAAAGGAGCAAGGTTCATAGGGGAGAGTTTACATGTCCCCAAGAGATTAACAGGCGATAAATTGATGGCTTCAATACTCCAGGGGCTGTTGAAGGTACCCCATAAGGTACCCCATTCTGGTCCATCATGGCTTATCTAACTGGCCTTGTTTCCTCTTCCCCAAACCAAGAGCATCCTTGAACAATGAATGGATCTTTCAACAAGCTCAGGCCTTGAACAATTAACAGACCCCAAGTCAATGTTTACTGTAGGGGAGAGGCTATTCCATTCTGGGCCCCTCTTCACAAAGCAAATCTCTACAAACTATAGTTCCAACGTTGATTAACAGCAGGTTCTCTTCCACTTCCGTGTGTCATGGGGCTGGGACTAGGCCCAGAGTCTGTAGCCCTGGCTTTCAGGTGCAACTCTGTTGTCTTAACTGAGTCACACTTCCTCTCTGCTTTCTGTTTTCCTAAGGATCGAGGTGCGTGCTCAGGCTTTCCCCAGCTGCTGGGGGAGCTTCTGGGGTGAGAGCTATCCCCGCAAAATTCCCACAACGGCCAACTGAGATCCAGGGACCAAGGTAGACCCTGCTCTACCGGACATTCCTGGCCTCCCTTCTGCTTTATCATCTCTCGCTGGTACTTGAAACTGCTCTTAGCAAATACCTCCGGTCCTTGAACCTGCATCCCCGGCGGCTTTTTGCATGTAGTTGAGGTGCAGCAAGTAGTTGAGGTTCCTGCATTAGCTGCGTGACCTTGGGTTAGTCATTGATCTTCCTTGCCTCTTTTTTTTTTTTTTTCCTGCTGTAAAAGCAGTTGAAAAACACCTGGTAGGTTTAAGCTATACCAGCTAGTGGGTTAATGAATACCTGGGATAAATTCCAAGAAGTCCGTAGCAGGTGGAAGTTCTGGGCACTCTTCTGAGTTCTCCTGGAGGCGTGTACCCAAGGCCAGTGGGGAAAGTCCTGTGGAGGAGAATTGGTCCAGCCTAGTACTGCCAGGAGCTAACATCGGCATGGTGAGGGGACTGGGCTGGGCGGTGTCCTGGGGGCGTGTGCTTAGTTGGTGACCTTAACCTAGGCGGGGCCTGCTGGCCCGGCTTCAATGTAGAGCGCACTGCCGGTCACTTTATGTAAATCTGCCAGAGGTCTGCACTGTACCTTTTGTTGTCTCCCCAGAGGTGCCATCTCTCCCAGCTGCCCCTGGGTCTTTGTCGCCGGCGTCACGGCGGATTGGGACTGACTGGTGAGTGGGAGAAGGCGCGGCTCCACTTTCGGTCTGGGATTCCCACTGGGCTGAGGGTGAGCTCGTCGCCTGCCAAGCCAGGTCCCCCATGGCTTCGGCAGGCACCAGTTGACCCAGGCGGCTGGCTGGTCCAGCGTCGGGGCCGGAAAGGGTGCTGGGAGCCAGGAAGAGAGGGAGGGGAGGCTGGTCGGAGGATCTGGAAGGGGGGCAGCCCCGCAGACGGTGGCTCTTCCTGGCCGCTGCCAAGCTGCCTTTTTCCCAGTCCCTGCCGCCCAGTCGCCGCCGTGCACCGGTGCGACCCAGCTCAGCGGGGGAGCAGGAGGGAGGACATTGCCTGGGACGCCGGGAGCGGCGCCTGCCCGGGTCCGGGGGATGCCAGCCGCGGGGGATCCGTGCCCCGCGCCCCCAGGAAGAGTTTAGGATTCTTGGTGGCGACCTCAGTGATAGAGTGGCAGGGTTCCCCTTGCACGGTTATGCTTACAGCAATTTAACAAATGTGCCGGGATGCAAAAGAGACATTTTCTCGTCCTGTTAGAGGAAACCATCGCTAATTTGCATGGGAGGTTGGGGGTGTTCACACTTCTTTTCTCAGCCTGCGGGCGTCCGATGGACCTCCCCGGGGGAGGGGTGCTGGCGCCCCTGGCGAGGGGCGCGCTCGTTTCCTCCTCAACCCAGCGGCTTCCTCCAGGTGGCCTTCCTGTCGGCCGCTCGGGGCCTGGAGGGGCCTGTTTTCCGTCTCCCCCTCCTTAGGTCCATCTCACACCTAGCTGCGACCCTTGGATGGGGCGGATTGGTCGAAATACCAAGTAAAAATAGCACCGATTCCTGGGAAGCCTCTGGAGGCAATTTTCAGGCGGCTTCTCAAAGAAAGTTCTCTCTCTCTCTGTCTCTCTCTCTCTGTCTCTGTCTCTCTCCTCTCTCTCTCTCTCTGTCTCTCTCTTCTCTCTCTCTCTCCACTTCCCAATTTCTTTCAGAATCCCTTGCTTTCACTGCTTCCACTTGACTCTGCAAACACCGCCGGTTGCTTTCACTTGCTGTCATTTGTATTATATACATTCAACCTCGTGTTACTTCCTTGAGTAGATAAAATGTCCTAATTTGCATTTTCCACATCTTGGTTTCCTGCTGAGGGGCTGGTGTAATCTTCCTGTAAGCAGCTCAGTGCGAACCCACTGACCACTCATTGGGTCAGACTCTAATGATATTTTTAATTCTGAGACTTTTAGTACTTGGGGGCATTATTACTACTTTAGCTAAAAAGAGTAAATTCTTTTTTATTTACGTCGTTTTTTATTTACGTCGGTGCTTATTAACGGACTTTCGTTGTCCTTACTAATCATACAATTAATATAAACTCATTTGAAAAACAAAATGTAAAACAGAAAAATTAAACTTCTCAGTTTTCCTGTTTCCTAATGATAAACACTGAAAATTTACCTCATATAGATTTACTTTTGAAATATGTTCATTCTGAAAGTATAAAAAATGGTTTTACAATAAGTCATTTATATAAGTAACTGCTCTATTCAACTTTAGTTTGATGGTTTAAAACTGAAAGAAAAGACATTGGTTCTGGTAAGAAATAGGAGAGCCCTTGATACTCACAGCAAAGGTTCAGATCCAGGTGAAGTATGACTAATCTTCAAGAAATCGGAATTGTCCTTCCTCAGGTATGAAGTTTGAGAAAGCATCATCATAAAATGCTAGATTGTAAAAGGGAAACCTTCAAATATAGCCTTTATACCTAAAAGCTATACAATGTCAATATATACAAATGTAAACTGAGAAAAGGGGTTTCATAAAGTCTTTGCCCCTGGGGAAGATCTTGACTTTCTGAGGCGTCAGGGTCCAAATTCATTTGTTGAGCTGATGGATTGGGTTTTGGAAAATCATTCAGCTCTAGGTGGCAGCTCCATCTGGGCAAAGGGTACAAATACTGGGAAAACTTTTATTCAGGTGTTCTACTCTGACTCTGTAACTCTATCTTTGAAAGGTAGCATTTTCAAATAAATGCATCTGTGACAAGATTCGGCCCTGACCATCTTCATGCGTCTCTTGTTCCTCTTTTGGTTAGAGGCCTGGACTTTGCTTATTAGTGATTCTCACAATTTTGCTCTTGCCCCCAAATTTTCCACCTACTTGGTTTTTCTTTTTTTATTTCTTTAAATTAGATTTTCTTTAGTTATTTGTTGGTGCATGTGTTATTGTTAGAGAAAGTAGCGATCTGGTATAAACTTCACTTTCTCCCAGTAGTACATTTTATAAAACTAAAATATAATATTAGAACTAGATATTGACTTTGATACAACCCACTGAATGTACTCAGGTTTTCCCAGTTTAACTTGTACTCATTTGTGTGTGTGAGAATTCGATTGTCTGCTTTCCCCCACACACACCACAGTTTAAGACAGATTAGGAAAGAGCTGGATTCTTCAATCCTGATTTTTCACATTCAGATGACTTTGAATAATTTCCCCAAGTCAACTCATATGGGCTCAACACTCCATTCATCCAATTAACATTTTAACTTGTAGC